AAAATTATGTCAGACATAGGATGCATGTGAGGTAAGAACGTTAAAAAAGTGCTGAACAAGCCCAAAATACACAACAATCAGGTAAAGTGATCCAAAATGAATGTGGTGTTCCGATTTTTAGGTGATCTCAGTTTGAAAACCAAAGAAATGAGGAGAGACACGGTGGATGAAACACCAACTCACAAATGAAGTTTTCTCCTGCTTTATGTGCCGTGGTTTATAAAACCAAATACACCGACAGATGGTCTGCTGAACCATACGCATTTATTTCTTACGTTTTCACAGCGACAGGCGGTACACCTCATCCTCAGGAGATTTAAAACAATCAGACCTAAAAATATTTAGATTGACTTTATAACTTCACTAACATTGACTGTTGAAAACATTTTGAAAGTGATGTATGGCTTTAATCTCTGAAGTAATACATTTTCTGTCTCTGCTTGGGTCGCAACAAACTATAGAAGAGGTGAGCAGTCGCCGTCAGCAGTGGAGGCCATGGCCGCAGAACATGTACGGACTGATGAACGAGGATCAGAGGTTTTCAGACTGCGAGGCGAGTTGAAGGGGGAGGTGCAGGTGTGGAGGTGAGAGGCAAAGACACTGTGTGAAAAGGGAGAGGTGACGGGGACAGGTGCGGCCCAGCGTTCTGAAAACAATGCCAAGTTAGCGTCACAGCTATATGCCCGAATATCTGGCTGCTTCTCAACAAAGGGAGCAGGCGTGTTATGTTACTGTTACACAACTCAATCAATGGGAACACACAAACTTTCCCCACATTCTTAGATTGTGCATGTCTTATACTTCACATGCAATCTCCAGTGGATTTAATGCCTATAAATGCACTTCTGTTTGCACTCAAGTAGCCATATAACTCCAGCTTGTGCCTGAGAATCATCTTGTTCAATTGTTTTTCGATATCAAATGAATCCAGTGATAGTTGTCTGTGGGGCTACACTGGAAACAGGAGCTGCTAATGGCTGATTGAACATGACAATTAGCCATGATATAAACGGATGAAGGCGTAAAAATAGGACTAAAGATGTGAGCTGTTTTGTCTGATGTTGGTGCACCAGGATAATGGAGACATGTCAGAATCAGAATTCCTTTCCCAAGATTGGGAAATTAACAAAGTGCAAACTTAAAAAGCAAGAAAAGAGGAAAAATAAACGAAAAGCTCAAGAGTGAGCAGGAGCTTTTGTGGCGCCGTTCTCAATTATGTCACATTCTTAACTGATCCTGGTTCATCTTTGATGACGTAAATAATATTTAAATCAATAAAACCCTTGGACTATTGGCAGCAAACATTTTAAAAAAGATTGAAAAATACAGGATCAGAATATAGAGCTAAAGAAATATATCTAAACAAAACTACAAATGACAAAAGAAAATCTAAGAGTTTATTATATTGTGATTCAGAGTCTAATATCAATAATGTGTTGGTCCATCTCTCAATACTTTCTGAATGTATCTTTAACTCACAGGCCACTAGTTCCTCTGTAATGGCTCATATTTGTTGGATTAAGTCAAAATCCTGCAAACTAAATTTTTTGTGCTTCTGTGTGTGTGTGTGGTCCGGGTATTATTCACCTAAATCTGTTTACACAGTCACCTGCAGGAAATGTGTTACCATAGCAACTTTACCATACTCCTGCTGGACTCTGAGATATCCCACAGTATTTTCACCATACCAGGAGATTTTATCTTATGTTTTTCCTCTTTTGTAAGTGAGAAGGTTCAGATGAAGATGTGTGTGTGTGTGCGCACGTATGTAATTATTATTTTAAGAAAACCTCAAGGAGCAACGTGACTGTTGCCAGAGGGAGTCAGGACAGTTTAGCCTTGACATGAAGGCAGACAATGGTGCTCAGATTGAGAGGAGGAGAGAGTTTGAACTGATGTTGAGCCTTCACAGGCATATGTGAGGCACAGCTCTTCACAGAGACAGCCTAAAGGAAATACATTCAGCTGGAGAAACAGTTGAAAGGAGAATTAGCACTGCGGTATCTGGCTGTATGTTCGTCTTGTTTGGAAGTCAGCAGTGGGGTTCGGGAATCCCCCCTGCCGAGGGTTTAATAGGCAGAGTGTTGAGGAGACTGGCAGCATCCAGCGCTCCCCAATCTGACAAATCGCAGGCCTTTTCTTCTGCTGTCTGAAAATCTCATATGAAATGCCTGGCAGCTATTCAGATGTTGTTAAATGCCTGTGGCTTGGCAGCCCACTATTCCATCATGCTGATCTGATGGAGGGATGTGGAGTTTGGAGACCGAGGCGTACAGACAAAGGCGGAGGAAGTGCTTAGAGATTCTAATAGTAGTCGGTTTGAGTTCACAGGGAGGGTCAGCCTCGCAGTCCTCACTGAAGCGCGATATAGACAGAGATATTTCTTTTCTCTCAGAAAAGCTGACATGCATGATTTTGAACCTTTTCCACTCCAAAGCAACACGTGCAGCCCTCAAGCTAATTAAGACATTTGGTTAATATCTTTATCCTTTTCTTCAGTTTGTAAATGATATATTTTCCGTCCGTAGGCACTTTTTGATGAAGTTTAAGCGCCAGTACTTGCACCATGTTAAAAAGCAATGTGTATATATGACTCAGCAGCCCAGCAATGCTGCGACATTGCTTGACACTGTGCAAAGCAATTGCCCTGACACCTCCTGCTCAGTAAGACATACATGAAATGGTTAGTTATACAAGGAGGATTTATAAGTAGCCAGACAGATGTTTTCTGAAATGATGGAAAGATTAATGTCTTTCATGGATGACAGACTTGCTGCTCGTAAACCAGGAAGGCAAATATAAAATCTACACATGTGATAAATTGACAGGGTGGCTGCCTCACTGATGTATTTGATTATTGCAGTATAAATTGTGTCCTAAAAACACCATCTCCCCTTTTAATGAACACATTTTTCATGTCAGGTAATACGAATAAGAATACATCAGCTTCCACTGTTCATATCCAGTGAGATGGATTTTTATGACAATTACCTTATCATTTTGATATGTTGACTGCCCCTTTGACAGTTTGATGCTCTTTCTTTCTTGGGTTAATTTTGATTTGTGTGGCATTGGTGTGATTTACGAGTCTACGGAGCGGGTGATTGGTAATACCTCCTTCATCCGCATGGAGCTGGTCTCCAGCAGCTCCCTACTTTATCTTCTGTGTATGGTAGGACATGATATCAAACACAATACAAAGGAATGACCTGTTCAACCAAAAAGGAAAAATGTTTTAATGTTTTTATAACAATCCTAGTGTCTGTAATATGGTAAAAAAAAAAAATCTTGGACATTTAAATACAGACCAAATGAAAGAAGATGATAATGGGTGAAGCTGTTATGGAGTACTTAGTGAACTGCTCCACTGTCTTCATATTTTGTTGTTCAGTCAGAAAGATGTGTGAGCCACAGATGTGTGCTGGTGTCTCAGCATTAAAGCTGCAGTGTGGATATTTTGTGTTAAATACAGGACAGAATGAGAAAAAACGAATGTAAACCATAGACTGTATATGAAGATGGACGACTTGACAGCTCCCCAATAGTGAAGCCAAAGTGTCTCAATTACCACTTGCAGTAAAGGTCATAAACCTTGCCTGAAGTTATTTAATTGAACTGTTTAATACATAATAATGGGGTGAAATGTCATGATTGATTAGGTGTGTGTATTAGTGGGGTCTCAATAACGCAGCTCCATCCCCTGATCAGTTCTGCGCAGACTCCAAAGGATGTGTTCGGCACATATCTACATATATCACATATATATTGTATTGCTGATATTTTGACTTAACCTTTGCTCTGACAATAAACCAAATACTTAAAGGTCCAGTGTGTAAGATTTAGGTGAAAGGGAACTATTGGCAGAAATTTAATGTAGAATAATYCTCATGATGTTTTCACTTGTTAGTTTCATCTAAATTGTATGAATTGTAGTTTTCTTTACCCCAGAAAAAGCCCTTTATATTCAAATACTTTATATTTACATCGAGGGGACCCTCTCTACGGAGGCCGCCATGTTTTTTACATTAGTCCTGACTGGACAAACTAAACACCTTTTGAGTTTTTATGACAACAGAAACTACCACAGTTTCTCTTTCATGTTTAGAAGGAGAGGGTGAGGTGAGGGGTGTTCAGCTGCAACATGCAATTTCAACACTAGATACCATAAAATTCAACACACTGTACCTTTAAAGCAATCGANGTTTTATGTGCTTTGGAGAATACTACCTTGGCATAAGTGACCCCTTGCTGTGTACAGAGGAAATATACTGCAAATGTTCATGTTAAGCTAGGAAGCCAAGAGAAAAGGTCCTTTTCAAAAAAATCTAGAAAAGATGACAACGAAAACAGGGATACCAAGAAGTTAAGAAAAAGAACTTTGTGTTCATCCTACCTGGTTTCATGAATGTAAAGCTGGTGTCTTTTCCTCAGTGAAAGTGTTTGTAGTCACTTTTTGTTTGTCATTGTTCCCCTGTGTAGCTTATTTACAAGTTTGAACTATTTAACTGAACATATCACACATTGCATGTCAGCTATTTCACATTAAAACCACTGTAATTCAGCTCGGAAAAAAAAAAAAAGCATTGCAACAAAAACATTTGTGCCGTTTTTGGCAAGATTGCAAAAGACGAAGTGATTCTCTACATGTTGCTGGCATGTCAAAAGATTTTGCATCAGTTCAAGGTTATCACTAGCAGGCCAGTTCTGACCAGCGGGCCGTCTGTTGCCGACCACTGGTGTAGAGCAAGTTGAATGTTCGTGGCTGCAGCAGAGTCAGTACTTTACGATGTGCTTTAAGAAATCCCATATATTTATTTGCCTGCTTAATGGTTCTGAAAATCAATTGATCCTGGGCTAACATCAGATTTAGTATTAAATAATGTCAATCCCTGCTGTGGAGACATTGATACAGCAAATGTATTAAAAGGAAACATTGCAATTTGACATGATTGATGTATTCAGGCCACTTGCTATGATACTTTGTGTTTTGCCGAGGTCTGTCCTATTTCTCTATTTATCGTCTCCATTCATTAGCGTCAACTTGAGGTAAATGAAACTGACTGGACATGATTTGTAAAGACACACAATACCAGAGCAAAAAACCCAACCTGGACAACCACCTCAAAGCGTTGTGTCTGCTTTCCTCACGACACGATGTGTAGAATTGAGGCCAAATAGTTCACTCTTGCTTTCATCACACCAGAGGAATCTTGTAACTCACAGTCTGAGACTCCTTTAGATGCCTTTTGCATACTCCAAGCAGGCTTTCATGTATATTTCTCTGAGGAGAAGCTTCCGTCTGGCTACTCTGCCATAAAGCCCAGATCGGGGGAGTGCTGCAATGTGTGGTTGTCTCTTCTCGACACATGTCTGGAGCGAAGCCACACTGACCATCAGCGTCACGGTCACATGTCTTGCCAAGGACCATCTTCCCGATTGCTAAGTCTGGCCATGTGGTTAAATTAAAACTGTATGGCTGACCTTTTATCTGGAGTCACATGTGTTATTGTAAGACATGCTCATACAAACAAACTGTCAATTTCTATTCATCAGAAGGAGCCTTATTAAATATTTGGGAAAGAGA